AAATTCCAATGAACTCAAAATAATAGCTGAGAAAAATGTAGCTGAAGTATCAGTTTTTCCAATATCAAAAGGAATAACAACCATGTAATTTTTAACTGACCTGTTACAATCCACACAGATATGTGGTTGTTTAGTTTTGGGTACGCCACCGTGAGTACGCGTTCGTGTTGAACTTTTCAGATGCGATACAGGAGTACTTATAGTAGGATAAGCTATAATTTGTTTAATGACTGTTTGAAAAAAAGGTCTGGTTGAGTGGCAGTTCTGTCTCAGAAATCCAGGCAAACCTCTCGCTTTCTGATCTATTGACGATGGACTTTGCTGATAGATGATATGCTGAACTGGTGGTAAAGTTGTCCGAATTGGAGGAAGTTGTGAACCAAGCCCTCTTGATGACGGTGAGCTGGCACAGGAAAGCTTAAAAAGTTAACGGTTGCTGCAAAAATTTCAACAGAATAAAACCAAAAGTTTTTATTTTGGCTGTAAAAAATCCAGAAATAAGTGAAACAATATCCAAAGCCGCACTGAATTAATATCGGGTTGTACGGAATACGGTTGACAGTTGGGATTATTTGGCGACGATGAAGGAAGTATATTGCCGCTACACGGAACCGAATTGGGGTGAGAAGGCAGATGGCTGAAAAGTTCTTTTTTATTTGAGAAAAGAAAAAATTGAAAAAGTTAGCTAGAAATGATAGTATTTTGAATATATAAAATTTAAATAATTACCTATTGATATCTTCACAATCTTCACTTAGTGTAGTGGTATCTGCTTCAGCGAGCTCAGCGACCGATTTTTTAACATCTGATTCGCTATCAGCTTCATTCTTAAAAGAAATCGTTTAAGTTATTATATTTTCAGCATTAATTCGAGTTAAAAAACCGGACTGACTTTAATGCGTTGAAATTATTTTAAAAATGTTATAACTTTAACCACTTACAATATTTGCAAGTTTAAATTCTGCAGATCTTCGCAAATCTTCTTCAATTTTTGCTAACTGAACGTTATCATCCATCGACAGCTGATATTGGTTACACTGAGGCGAATTTGATTGCGGAACAGCTACTTGTGATGGTTGCCAACATTGACCACTGACCATTGTTGTTACCGGCGACGACACAGTAGGGACCGGTGTAACTTGGTTAGGAACCTGGCTGGATGACTGCGGATAAACCAGTGCCATTTCAACGTCGTCTTTTGATGCTTGTGAAACTACGGTTGGAGCTTCTGCAGTGGTAACCGTTGTAACAACTGCAGCGTTTTCGTTTTCTTCTTGCCGTGTAACAGTTTCAGAAACATAACTAAAAAAAAGTATTTCACATCTTATGAAAATTTCAGAAGTTTTATCTAACAATTACGCAAAAGAAAACTTTATAAGACCTAATTTTTAGAATGCAAAAAAGAAGTTTTAAAGTATAAATGCGATAATGACCAGGTTCAAACAGTTCAAATAAGAGATTACATAGCTAAATTTAACCAAGTTTTAGCCATACTACTGTAACTTCTGTAAAATATTTGCCAAACATCTCCAAATTTCAAAACTCAGTCGGAACGTAAACTTTTTTTGAAAAGAATCAATAACGGCATAATCAAAATCTATTAAATTCCAGTTATAAGTCAAAACCACTTTCTAAATAAATTTCTAACAAATTTTGTACAGAAATCAGTCAATGAATTAGGCAGAAGTCAATTTGACAAGCTTGAAGTTGATTGTAAAACTTAAAAAACATCTTTCAAAAACTAATTTTTACAGTTGTGATTATTAAATTTATTAAACTGATTTACGTAAACCTGCCTAATCAACCTTAAAGTATTTGGTGAGCAAAAAAAAGCAAAACTTTTTTGTCATTTACTATTACGCATACCTCTAAATAATCTTTAAATAATCTAATCTTAGATCTTTATATTTTTTTTATTCAAAGTAAAAAAATTAAGCAAGAAACTTACATAAGAATGAAAAAACTTTCAGTTTTTTTTTTGACAACCACTTCAATTGTATAAGTTTTGTCAACGTCAAAAAAACTGATAGATAGAACAGTGGTTAGTAATAGGTACTAATCTTTAGCGGAGGTGACCCACCATTAGAGAAAGTTGAGTGACATAAGCTTATAGAAAAAAAAAAAAAAACAGTTTACCCACTGTTCAGTCATTTCCCCTCCCCCGGTCGATTACGTCTATCCGCATTAAATGTATGTCCGCATTAAAAACCAGCTTAGCCTACCGAAAAGTTTGATCTTTCAACTACACAAGTGTTATGTAAATATTAATACCGAAATGAAGAGTCAATCAATAAATTAGCAGAAAAAAAACCTAAAAAATAAAAATTTTTTTCTTTTTTTTCTGAAAACTTTTCTTGTCAAAAGAAAAAAAAAGTAGAACAACCAAATGATTTAAAAAAGGCTAAAGCTAGTTGAAACAATTTATTTATTAAAAAATATATTCTAATTTTTTTTTATCAGCACTTAATAGCTTCAAGTTTTCTTTTTTTGTCCCCCCCAAAAAAAAATTCATTCTTAATTTTATTGTTTTGTTTTTATCTCTAATTAAAAGCAGCAAAAGGAACACAAGAAAAAAAAGATAGAATAGTTTGCAGTGGTAATAACCGTTGTTTAGAATTATCAAAAATAATTGCCAGTAAAAGAAAAGAAAAATTCTTTTTTTTCTTCTTCTTCTTCTTCAAAAAATGTCTATATAAATTATAAAAAAAAATTTCCTTGCAAAAAAAAAAGCTGTAAACATTGTTTGACACTTTTGAATAGTCTAAAAAAAAAAGAAATTGAATTTTTGACAAAACAGTGTTAATCTAGTTGAAAAAAAAAAAAAAACACTACTCCTTACTTGTCCAAATTTTTTTCTTCTAATTTAATAATGGTGTACTGTCGTTGACTTCGTTTATGTTCGTCTTCACTGGTCACCAATACCCTGACCGGTTCCACTTTTGCCACCTCTTCTGCCGACAATTTATGGACGGCCATCCGATGTCGTTTAACGTTTTTACGGCATGAATACCTAAAAAAAAAAAAGATACTTACTACTTCAACAGTTTGACAAATACGACTACATATTGAATGTTGTGCTCAATTTATTGTCCACCGATTACTTTCCTCCGTTGTTTGGCTCAATGACACGCAAACACAAACCAAAGTTATCAAATTTATAAAGACTTTTTTAAAGACAGTGGCGGCCAAATGACAAAAGTTTTGAGGAAAAGAGAAAATCTGAAGATTTAATAGACGAATTGTTGAGACTGCCGCAATTGCCAACAGCTTTATGGTAAGCAATAATTAATAAATGCTCGCAAAAAATATAAATTGTTTTCTTGTATAATTCCATTTTATCAACTTGCTTTTATAAAGTCAATGATTTCTACTGGAATTACACTAACAAATTTTTCATAAACTAAACATAAATTTTAAGTTCTGTTTTTAGTCAACTTACCTTTTGAGAAAGAATAATTTTCTAAAAAAACTTACTAAACTAAAGTGTCTATGATAACGGCTTTAACAAATTTGATACAATTGACACTAAAGAAGAGAAAAAAAAATTAAGTGAGTAAGTAAGAATTGTTTTCAATCAAAATAACCCTTTAAATGATTGAAAAAGATGATTGCTTTATTCCTTTTCCTACCCTTCCCCACTTATTTTTCCTTTTTGCTTTCTTCTCAAACAAGTGTATTTGAAAAGAAATAATGGTAACAATAATTGATAAAATAAAATAATTAAAAAAATAAGAATAAAAATAAAAATAAATAATAATCAAAAACAAAACCACGATGTTTAGTGGTGTTCAACGATCAACTGCCAGTGTTACCACCGTTATCATACCCAGAAACTACCACTGAACAACGTCACTAATTAATACAGATGCATTTTATTGAAGAAAAAAAAAGAACCCATTGCTTACAGTAAGCGTAAAAAAAAATGTAAAAAAATTTTTTTTACATGTGCTTAACAAATGAATAACAACAATAACAACAAAATAAAAAAAAAAAATCAAAAATAAACTGGTAAATAATTGAATGATAAACTGAGATAAAATTTTTGTTATCAATAAAATGACAAACTGTACTCAACAGTAATTAACGTATCAAATGAAATTCAACAATCTCTTAATAAAATAAATCGTCTATTATTTGTCTACAAAAATTTTAAAGCAATATTTCCAATAATTGATAAACAAATATAAAAGTTAAAATGGAAAAAACTGTAGAAACAGAAAATAGAAACTGTTAAAGCTTGCTGAAGAAAACAGGTTTTTAAAGCAGTCTTTTAGAAAAGTTTCAAGAAAAAGTCAAAAAACAGACTAAAAAGAAAAAAAAAGCTAAGCTTGCAACAACAACAACAACAATAAGGCAAACAATAAGGACTGAGATGAATGTTGTAAATTTATAAAAGTTTCAAAAAAAAAACCGAAAAAAATAAGAAGCAAAACAATTGAAAGTTTGAAGTGAAACGGGAAAACTGCAACAAAATAAATATGCTTTTAAAACATAGCACAAAATTTTCAATTTTTTTCTTCCTTCGTCTCCCTCATTTCCTTTTCTCTTTCATTTTTTTTTTCTTCCACTGCTTTACTCTTATTTCCGAGAGAAAAAAAATGACTCCAGATGTAAACGAGAAAATGTATATTTGTCACTGTGTCAACTGATGTTTACAAATAAATATATACATCAGTCTATTTGTTGAAAAAGTTGTCAAAACTTCTAATGTATACGAAAAACAGATACAATAACATAACCTCGACAACTGCTTATTATTTCTGAATCCAATGACTGACTCTAACAGTGATTCTGCCTACGGTCTTAGTCTTTTGAATGTAAATAATTGTCCTGAATTAAATAAATGCAAAAGAAAACCCGATACGATGCGAAAACTTTAAAAAATATAAATGTACTAAAATAGAGAAAAAAAAAAAGAAAAAAAATTACTGATTGCAAAATTAGTGTCTGAAAAAAAAAGTGGAAGATGACAGAAAGCTAAATCACTGAATTGATATAAAATTGATATAAGATTTGCTACACTTACTCTTAGTAATCTAATATTTTCTTAAGCAATCTACCGACAACAAATAAAAAATTTTTTTCTTGCCTGATTATCAATTTAAATATAAAACAAGAAATTGTAAGCAGGGTTTTTCTTTTTTTTTTTTTTGCAATAAAAAACTGATTTGCAATAAACCGGAATATCAACTAAGCAATACACTTTTTCAAGATTAATGCGTTTTCCTCGGTATCAATCAACAACACAAGATCAAGATCTATAGATAGTAGAATAAGTGTCATATAGATGAATTGCTCACTAATGAAATGATGTTCATAGATCGAGCGCAATGATGAGCTGCTCGCTAATCAACAAAATGCTCATAGATCAAATGTAAGAAAAAAATTTCTCGGCAAAAATTAGGTTTATCTTTAATTGCAATTTATAAATGTTAACTAACGTTTTTAAGCATTCCGGACATTCGAATCGAAAATCTGATGGCTCTGGTGGTAAATCCATTGTGGATTTGTTGCCAACAGTTTTTGCCGAATATGCCATTAATGTTCCGGAATTACTGCTGTTCACACCAGTTGATGTAGACAGATATTGGTTGCTGTAAAATCATCACATTCAAATAGGAAACAAAAAGAAAGATGTGTAAACAAAAACAAAAGTGATTTCTAAAACCAAGAAAAAATGTACTGTAAATCTTACTCTGATATTGGTACAGTTGTTATTGTACTGTTTACTAAACGAACTTCTTTTTTCCTTACTTTAGAAATTTCAACTTGTTTACCAGGAACATTGCATGAAGATTGCGAACCGGAATATGTTGATGGTAAAATACCATTACACATACTAAAATTGAGCGATTAAAAACCGAATAAAAATGATAAAAACAGATAAAATATCAATTATGTACTTACGCTAATTTCTTATTGATAACTTCCCCAACTGTAATATCATCCGATAAACCCAAATCGCTAGAAACTGTTGTACCATTACCGCTAAAAAACGTTAAAAAGTTAAATAAAATGTTGAGTAAAGTTTAGCACCGCGTGAAAGTATTTTACATGCCGTAACTGAAAAAAAGAAAAGAGAAAGAAGAATACAAAAAATATTTCATTAAAACAAATAATTTTTTCAGAGAAACAGTGAGAGAAAAAAACTAGCAAGCAGAATGACGTACCGTCCATATTTAGATTCAAATGAATATTTTTTATCATTTTCTGAATCATTCACGTATGCGGTTTTTACATCTGATGTTTCCGCACATGGAATAGCGTTGGCTGCTGTGGAAGGTATTGTAACCACACTGGAATCAGCAGATGTTGTCATCACGGTAACTACCGGATTTTGTGTGACAACATTACTCTGACTCCATAAGATTACATTTGGCTGTTTGGTCGTATTCGGCTGAATGGAATAGATGTACGTTTGATTTACTGGAACACAGTTCATCACACCGCATGACTGTTGAGCTTTTGTTTCTACGGCCTTTGCCTGCATTTCTGCTCTCTTCTGCTCTTCCAACTGTCGTTGCTGATTAAGCCGTTGCGTATGTTGAGCTTTCAGATGCTCACCAACAGTAATCTGAAGTATCAGTCATCAAAGTTACTTATTTTTCTGTTAAAAATTTGTTATATATAACCAACCCATGGTTTGGTTGCCACAACATCAAGATTCAGGCCAGGAGTTGTTACTGAATTTAGTCCTGTCGTTGTTGTTGTTGTTGTCAAATTTTGCTGCGGTACAACGGTAACTGTATTTCTGTTAGGAACAGTATACGTAAAGTTTCCACCACTTGAAAACCGTCGCCTGCTTTTTGGTGTTGAGTTTTGTACGGTTTCGGTAGTAGTTGTTACCGTAGCAGAAAGCTGACCTTCAATATTAGTGTCTGGTTCATCATTTCGATCGAACGATGACTGAGCACCTGGAGTCAGCGACAGAGACTGAGCCTGTGAAACCTTCGCTACGGTTGCCGCACTCTCTGCCCTGAGATATTTCAAAATAAGTTATGAAAATTCCTCTTACGGTCCAAATTTTAAGCACTGTTTATTGTACATAAAACTGCCGAAGAAATGTTATTGATAGAATGACAGTTTCTCTTATGCAGATCTAATCAGGTATGACCAACACCAACCTTTTGTTAGCAGCTCTACAAGTGCTTCGATGCCGTTTCAAATTTGAAGCACTGCAAAGCACTTTATTACAGTCCTCACACATGTTTAGATTGGTGGATGACGTACGGCGACTATTTGTGACCAGCTTCGGATTTTCTGCTGTATTGGTGTTATAACTGAAATAATAAAAAGTTTAGGGCAAAGACTTTTTTTGACTGGTAACAAAAATTTAAGTTTTTTTAGTGTTTGGAAAGCTTCTAAATTTTGAAATGCTCCTATCACTTTGCGGTAAATGTTCAGAAATTCTACCTTAAGTTTGTTATAGATACTGAGGTGCTATCTTTAGCTGCGTTACCATTTGCTAGAGCAGGCCTAGCACTAGTTCCCGATGGAGGTGTTGAAGCAGTCGAAGAAGACGGTCTACATTGAAATAGTTTATATTAAAACCAGTTAATTAACGTCATTCTTTGAATATAAAAGATAGTTATGCAGCTGTCAAAAAATACATATGAAGCTTACTTGTCGGTATCACCGTGTGAAAAATTGTCGACCCTTAAAAGTTTGATATGGCTCTGGTAAGATTTGCACGTATTTTGATGACGTTTTAAACTACGATTAGAACTAACAGTTTTTTTGCAGTATTCACATTTAAATGACCTTTCTGCCTGTAATGAAGTAGGCATCTAGTAAGCAAAATAAATTTTAGTTAATAACTAAAAGCAACGTAAAATGTTCATATTGTTAAAAACAGCATAACTTACAACAGCAGGTGTAGCAGTCTTCAGGTGTTCTGAAACCGGTATTAAAAGCATATCGGGACCAGTACATGGTTGATCAGTGGTCATTTGAGTCCGATCTGATTCCTTGTCATCTTCTCTCGTTAACGCTGGTGATAGGCCACCATCATTGACGTCTAACAGATGTGGAGTTATACTGAAAAAAATTACATATGTTCAAATGCAGTCATGCTTCTGAACCATAATAATAAATAGCCTTCTATTACCCGTAATACAACAGAAAATTTTAAAAATAACAATTTTCTTAGTCCGCATCATATAATTGAAATTTTATATGCCATAGTAACAAGTAACTGTAAACAAGAAGAACTAATCATACAGTTGTCTATTCACAATTAAACTCAAATGGTAGAAAAAATGCTAGTAAGTACTGTAATTTGACCTTCCATTAGTGATAAGATCAAAATCATTGTTTCGAGACATTTCTGCTACTGCACTGTCCAAATAAGAGTCTTCACATTGTGGACCCATTCTAAAACTTTAAAAGGTTACTTATCTTTAAGATATATTTCTGCTTTACTGTGCGTTAAATGCTTCTTTTGCTGTCCGTTTCGTCATACTTACTCTCAAGACAAATTAAAAAAAA